TATATTATACTGGATTGAAACAAAACTCAACTATATGCTAGACCAAATTCAACTTGTCCAGTATAATATACTGGAAAAAAAGATTACACACAGGTGATGTCCTGTATATTATACTGGATTGAAACAAAACTCAACTATATGCTAGACCAAACTCAACTCGTCCAGTATAATATAATGGAAAAAAAGATTACACACAGGTGATGTCCTGTATATTAAAACTCAATTATATGCTAGACCAAACTCAACTCCTCCAGTATAATATAATCGAAAAAAAGATTACACACAGGTGATGTCCTGTATATTATACTGGATTGAAACAACTCAACTATATGCTAGCCCAAACTCAACTTGTCCAGTATAATATACTGGAGAAAAAGATTACACACATGTGATGTCCCGTATATTATACTGGATTGAAACAAAAATATCCTATATATTATACTGGATTGAAACAAAACTCAACTATATGCTAGCCCAAACTCAACTCCTCCAGTATAATATAATCGAAAAAAAGATTACACACAGGTGATGTCCTGTATATTATACTGGATTGAAACAACTCAACTATATGCTATCCCAAACTCAACTCCTCCAGTATAATATAATGGAAAAAAAGATTACACACAGGTGATGTCCTGTATATTAAAACTCAATTATATGCTAGACCAAACTCAACTCCTCCAGTATAATATAATGGAAAAAAAGATTACAAACAGGTGATATCCTGTATATTATACTGGATTGAAACAAAACTCCACTATATGCTATCCCAAACTCAAATCCTCCAGTATAATATAATGAAAAAAAAGATTACACACACGTGATGTCCTGTATATTATACTGGATTGAAACAAAACTCAACTATATGCTAGCCCAAACTCAACTCCTCCAGTATAATATAATCGAAAAAAAGATTACACACAGGTGATGTCCTGTATATTATACTGGATTGAAACAACTCAACTGTATGCTATCCCAAACTCAACTCCTCCAGTATAATATAATGGAAAAAAAGATTACACACAGGTGATGTCCTGTATATTAAAACTCAATTATATGCTAGACCAAATTCAACTCCTCCAGTATAATATAATGGAAAAAAAGATTACAAACAGGTGATATCCTGTATATTATACTGGATTGAAACAAAACTCAACTATATGCTAGACCAAACTCAACTCGTCCAGTATAATATACTGGAGAAAAAGATTACACACATGTGATGTCCTGCATATTATACTGGATTGAAACAAAACTCAACTATATGCTATCCCAAACTCAACACCTCCAGTATAATATAATGAAAAAAAAGATTACACACATGTGATGTCCCGTATATTATACTGGATTGAAACAAAACTCAACTATATGCTAGACCAGACTCAACTCCTCCAGTATAATATAATGGAAAAAAAATTACACATAGGTGATATCCTATATATTATACTGGATTGAAACAAAACAAAATAATATATGCTAGAACAAAGTGATAAAATTATTAGAAACAAAACAAAATAATGAACACAAAAAATAATTATTTAAACCCTAACGGTACGGTAAATCAAACTTAAACATAACGAAGCAACAATAAGAACGTGAATCAAACACATTATTGTAAAAACAAAACTCACCCAGAGAATTTTGAAGAAAATTAGAGCTAAAACGATCAAGGATTCGAAAAAAAGTGCTCTGACGAAAGTCGCACGCGCTGCTGTGCAAACAAAGATTAAAAAGTTACTAAAGAGTATGTTAAAGCGTGCAGGGGCAATAATATCATTTTACATTCTATTTTAAGTTAAAATGGCTAGAAATCAATGATGTCACGGACGGTGGCTATTTTTCGATAGCCACCCGTAAAAGTGGCTATGCCACGCTATTTTGACTTATTTACCCAATAGGTTTGCAGATTGGGTTTCTCCTTTGGGATGTTTATTAAACTCCCTCGTCCATCCGTTCAAAATACGCCCATGTCATGCCATTAATCAACCAATATGCCAATTTGCATAGCAACACAAAAATAATATGAATTTCACTTTTATGCAATGTTAATGTAAACTTGTGCATTTTAACTTGTTATAGTATGTAAGATTATCTTATTTTCTAGTAATAATCATATTCTTATAGATAATTTTCTCATTTAGTTGACTAGACAGTGTAAAATTCTTTTATTTTTGTTATTGGATATGAGAGACCCGCTCATCTAAGTGACTACAAGGAATTGAAAGCATCTCATTCATCTAATTTGAACTTGATAGAACTAAATTGTTAGCTCATACAAACAATACATTTACAACAATTCAGGGTAACCAACACAGGAGAATGATTTCACTAAGAAAAGCAAAAATAATGTGAAACAACAAAAAACAAATGGCTGTCATTATTTGATCTCCTTACAAAATTTGAAGTACGTAACAGAATCACAATACATCACATAAACAACTTATAGACAAAATTAACATAGTGCTCCACTCCCTATAAATACCAGCTATATACTCCGCCTCATCAAGTGCAAAACATAGAACCAAATAAAGCAAAAGTTTATCTTATAACTGGAAGACTAGAGCCATTTGTATAGTAAATATTGCTGCTATCAAAGTGAAGAACGCAGTAGAAAAACGACGCGAATCAGCCGCAGAAGAAGAACTAGGGTTCGAAGAAGTAGCAGCCTGATTAGAAGGTGCATTTCCAGTAACAGTTGTGATCTTAAGCTTCATTCCTTGGTCACAGTGACCTGCTGTTCCACAAGCAAAATATCTAGTCCCTGGCTTGTTTAGTTTAACAACATCGTTACCCGCACTCATTGAGTTCACTGAACTGCTTGTATCACAGCTCTTGTATGCACTTTCACCCTCAACTTCGACAACGCTGTGAAGACCTGGATTGTACCTAAATACTGCAAAATATATTGAAAAATTGGAGCTTCAGCGCATTGATGATTGGACGTTATGATATCTGACTAAATATATCTAAACTTCAATTAATTGAAATATGTATGTCTGATCACTCTGCTCGTGAATCTTCACAAATTTTATAAATTCTTAACCATGTACCATTTAGTTACTCACGTGTACGTTAAATTTGCATTGTTACTCCATATTTGAAGGTAATATAGTCCTATATGTAGTATAGATGTAACATACTGTCTACATAAAGGATAAAAGATGGATATTTTAATTAAAGGTTGAATGTGCTTAGACATATATCGCAAAGATCAAAATCAAAATTTTATCAATAACTGAGAGACCGAAAGTGCTATTATCCTTATTTTTGGTATGTATGAACAAGAAAAGAGCAATGAACAAACCTAGTGTATCTCCAACTTTGAATGTCTCACCAGACGCCCAAGCATTGAAATCAGTGGATTCATCCCATCCTTGGCTTCCCCCAACAACGTGTTGTGCTGCCATTGCTTTATTCTGGATCATTACCGTCATAATAATAGCAAAAATCAACAAAGATTTTCGTAGAGCCTCCATGTTGGTCACAAATTAAATTGATTTTGTCTACACTTGCAAAGAAAGCTTAACAGGTACTGGTTTTTAAAGATGAATTCCTGAACTTAAATGCTTAGTAAACCAAGGAGAAGTAGTAATGGTATAAATACAGTGCAACAGCTGTACGTACAGACATGATGGCCATCTTATTGATTTGGTACCAACCAATCTTGGATTATTTGACAAGTCTTATGGTTGGCGCACAGCATGTAATGATAACAATGCTTTATTATTCTTTATCTGCTTGATTGCATGTTCGCATTATTTGGTGTCTCATTGTCCAAAAATAGGAGAATGAGCGCCAGTTGAGTGTGATAGGGGACGCCCTAAGCAACTAATTATGGTTGGTCCACTCATTTTCGGAGACTTGGATTCTAAGGTGCTATTGATTTCACATAATTTATGAAATAGAATGTCTCTACTCTCTAGAAACTAGGGGTGGGCATCAGTCGGTTCGGTTTGGTTATGAATATTATCGGTTTAGCATATCGGTTATCGGTTTATAAATTTTATAAACAGATAACCGAACCAATAAGATATCGGTTATCGGGTATCAGTTAATCGGTTATCGATCATTATCGATTCGGGTATCGATTTACCCGATAAGATAACTCAATCTAGAGTTAAGCAAAAAAGAAAAGACAATTCACTGGAGTTAAGCAAAAAAGAGAAGAATTCACATATAGTATACTAAAGGCTTACGCTAGGAGTAACTAGTAAGGTCTATGAAGAATGAAGATGAAGCAACTAAAGAGTGGGGTTGAGAAAGAATAGGAGAGAATGAACTGAAGCCCTAGCATTTGTATATACTTAAGGGTAAAGTCATAATTTTATTAATTCTTATTGGGTTATCGATTAACCCATTAACAAAATTGGCAAACCGAGGCCCGAACCGATAATCTAATAGTAAAAAAATTCTAAACCCGTTACCGAACCGCTAACCCAATAACCCGATACCGATAACCCAATAAACAATTAACAGTTCGGGTTATCGGTTTTACCTGATATATGCCCAGCCCTACTAGAAACCAGAGAAACATATCGTAATTAGGTGGTGTCATCATTACAGGCAAAAGAAGAGTATTTTGAGTAGAATTTCGATGACATATTACTTTGGGTTTAGTAGAAAGACTTGGTATATTTTAAGCCAAATTAAAGCCAGACCCTTTTGATATCAGAAATACCATCTTTTGTCTGTTTAATCTTATATTCCCTTAAGCGTAAAGTCAAAATAGTTAGTGAAGATAATTAAATTGGTCATTGTTCGTGCATCTAAATACCTCATGAGTCAAATTACTTTAATTTCCATTTCTAATTTGTTTTCAGAAACATAGGTACTTTAGGCCCCTGTCTTTTGCTCATATAGCTAACCGTACAATTTACATTCAAGTGAATATCAACAATCTCGTCTCGTGGAAGGAGTTGGTTTTTATTACTCCTTCCTATCCTTTTCACCGTTCGTTCAAGATTTTGACACACTCATTAAGAAAATAGGAGATCCAGTCGTGCAATTTTAAAATGCTTTTAATTTCTGAACACTTGACCATGCAAATTGACCTATGATACATACAAAAACTTCATCATTCCTTTCTCTCTCTCTCTCTCTGTGTAGCTTAATGTTGGTTTCTGAAGAAGGTCACAATCTGATTAAAGACAATATCTTTAGCAGTGATTCCAATAATGAAATCAGCATGAGCATATTCCTTGACGTATTGAACGTGTAACTTGTCCACATCGTGCAACTTGAGATAATCAAGCAACGTCTCCACATCTTTAGAATCAGATAGTGCATCTTGGCCTCCATAGCTAATAAAGAGGGGAAGGTTGCGAGGGATGTTTGCCAAATTATACTGTGGAGGTTTAGCTTCACCATAATGTGCCAAATTGTAGTTGCTGCTCCCATAGTCATATTTCTTTAGGATTCCATCTCTAACAGCTGCATGCATTTTATTAGATAGTTTAAGATAATTAAGTAGCAACATGATTAAGAAAAATGGTTTAGCTTTATAATTATGTTTGGTACGAAGGAAAGTCATTTTCCGTAAAAATAGTCTGGGAAATATTAGCTGGTGTTTGGTTGGCAAGTAAAAAATATTTTCTAGAAAAAATACTATGTCAAATTCATAATAATATTAGTAATTTGAAGTTAAAATTCAAGCGAGTCATATGAAAATGACATGCGCCAGTAAGGGAAATCATCTACTTACTTTTGGTGAAAAATGTTTTTATGACCAAGTAAATATTAGAAAATGACTTTCTCATGAAAAATGAATTTTGGCATACCCATGGGCGAAGCCACATGGTCATAAAGGTGGTCACTTGACCATCCTCCGTCAAAAAATTACACTATGTATATAGGTACAATATTACGTTTTGGAGGTATATAACACATATTAAATACCCTTTTTGTCGGAAATTTTTTTCACTTCTTTTAAATTTGAAGACCCTTGGGGAAATTCTTAAGTTCGCCACTGGTCATACGAGATACACTAGGATCACACATATATTATAGAAGAGACTTACTTTGAGCCAAATGCATAAGGTTCTTAGTTGATGTGGGTTGAGGCTCGTTCTTCAAGAAAAGATCGACAGTGGAGGCATTTAGACAGCAGTTCTTCCCTATATCCATGAGGAAAGTAATTAATTAAGCTTTTAAAAAATGTAGCAAAGGCAAATGACTTTGTCAATTATTGAGGAATATGTCTAATTAATCAGATTTATTACCAGTAAGTGCAGTCATGAAGTCATAACAATCTACTCCAGGGTAAGCACACAGGGCCTTGACAAAAATAGATACAGGCTGACTGAAAAATAACAAATATTGTTATCAATTAAGAAGGAGGAGAAGAAAAGCAAAAATGACTACTAGCTGGCTAGTCATAAGTGATTTACCCTGTTGGATTAAATTCTGCAATACCAAATATTGTAGTGATCTGTTGACATTGATAAAATAATTAGTATCATCGAGTTTAATTGAATGAATTCCAATAAAGATAAATACAATTAGAAAAGATGATTTAATTAATTAATTTTACTTTTACCTCGCCAACAAATGATCTGGCTGCAACTACACCGAGTGCAGTGGTCATATGGCTCAAATAAGCAATTGGACTAAGCAGAGCTGCTGATTTTATCTTGTCTATTTGTCTTCCTTCTGAGAATGACGCCAAAGCTATCAAAGTCCCCTATAATTTCATAATACAAATCATATTAGTGGCTATAAACTATCCTAGAAGTTGAAAGTATAATTCCTTTATGAAAATCTTCCAGTGAACTGAGTCGTAACACTCTAGACAAATCTTACATCAATAAAAATATACTAGAAATATTGGGTACGGTATATATTAAGAAAGCACATCAATTTTGAGTGATGCGATTTTAAAACAATGCAGGCATATGTCCATAAAGTGGATAATTCACTAGTGAATTGAGTTGTTACATTAATTCGTTCAAACTAGTTTTTGACTTTCTGTTCTAAACTTACCAATGAATGGCCCACGTAGTGAGTCTTCTGTCCAGTTTGTTTGAAAACAAGGTTAATGACAGTGGGTAAGTCATGGACCACAAGATCATCCCATGTCCAATTCCAGTAGTCCTGTATACCATAATCTTGATAAATAAGATATTTTAAAGATCTCTCTCTTATCATTGGAAATGACAATTAAAAACCATAGAATTAATTTAAAGGATTAAAAATATGTTATTGATTAACGTGGAATTGAAAGAAATACCGGATTATTAGGATCAAGAGACACATGACGACGACTGAATCTAGTTCCTCTGGTGTTGGCAATCCAAACATCAAAACCGCTGTCTGCTAAAATCATTGCTAGTGATTGTTCTGGTGAATTTAGTAGCCACGTTACTCCATCCTGCAAAATAATGTCCAAAATTTTGTTTACTTCACCTGCAATAAACATTTTAATTTGAAATATTAACCGTACATGTCCAAATCTTGTACTATTCGTTTTGGAATGTTAAAATATGCTTATTTACTCAGAGATAAGCTTTGCCTCTTTTAAGGTAAAGCCTGCCTGTAGTAACTATTTAATTGAGTATTTACTATCTTCTACCGGTATATGAGTCAGATAATTTTGCCATCAAAATTTAGTATGAGAAAAAATCACAATGTTCTTTTTTTTGGTTTCTCTTAGGATTTAAACCCTAGTTTCCTATGATTTTATTTTCTTATGTGTTGTGTCTTACTATTCTTTCGTTTCTCATAGTGCTGGGTCTATTTACTGGCTATCGCTTTTGCTTTACATCTATCTTATGGTTTTCATGTTGTTGCTATTTTTCCTATGATTTCTGTGGTGGTACTGATTGTTGGAATTTGGACTTACGTTAATTGGTTATAGCCTGAAAGGATAGTGACGTGGCCCAAGTGGTGGATAAATAAAAGGCCTAATATTAAATATTGTGTGTGTGGATAAGTGAGGCCCAAAAAACTATTGGCCTGTGATGGGTAGGCACTCTTTATAAATAGAGGCCAACCCCCCTTTCCCTAGCTATTAGAAAACCCTAGCGTATTCTTCCTCTTGAATACGTAGTAACGGTAGACATCCCATCAGTCAAGTTCTCCGGGCTGTGAGAGCGAGTTTAACGGTACGCTTCCTTAGACTCTAACTCTAGATTGATTGTGTAATTGTGTCTTAATCTCTGCTATGGTTACGAATTAATTATCTAACACTGATGTTGTCTCCTTTTGTCTTCTTGAGCCGAGGGTCTTTTGGAAACAGCCTCTCTACTCCTTCGGGGTAGGGTAAGGTCTGCGTACACACTATCCTCCCCAGACCCCCACTAAGTGAAATTTTATTGGATCGTTGTTGTTGTTGTCGTCGTCTCCTATGATTTTTACCTATTTATTGACTACTGGCTACATCCTTAAATAAAGAGTGACAAGCATTTTTGCATAGTTGTTTCTGCATTTTTTAGAGAGTTTTTTGTGCAATGCAATTTATATGCCTATGCGGATAAGCATATAAATCAGTGTTTTGTGAGCAGGTTACGCAAAAGGCCAATAAGCCAGGCCATATCCGTGTATCTGCTATATTTGATAAATTCTATGGGATTGGGTCCAAGACAAAATGAGGAATTTTGTGCCCTCATCATTACGTGGCAAAACTTAAGGTACAGACGTACGGCTAGCTACTACCTACTTACTTAACAAGAAGATCTTAATTTTGGGATAAGAATGAAGTGAAGGGAGCTCAAAATTGAGCTATTGTTCCTGCAGGTTGACATCATTAATTCTGTTATGTTCTAATAGTGATATACATTATACAAGAAAGGGGATTCATCTTTCCCTCTTCTTAAAATTACGGATCACAATGAATTTCTAGTAGATATTTGTTTAAAATTGAACAATGTTTAATGTTTAAATTTTACAAAAAGCAACCGCCATGTCTCCTTTTGCTAGCCTCATTGTACCTAGGAAAATTGTACATCTAGTGAGTTAATGATAGACGACGAGGAAATACGCGCAGTATTACTGTTTTGTCCATTTATGGTCAAAATCCTTTAGCTTTCACACCTCAAATCCTCTCACTAAGGGGTCGTTTGGTTTGAATACGGCTTATGCTGTAATTAGTTATGTTGAGATTAGTTATTCTGATATTGTTTTTTATTCACTATCTGGTATGTTGTATTAAAAATGACAATTGCATAATTTCTAAGAAGAAGGTATAAGTTATCCTAGCACTAATTATCCCACCCCCTACAAAGTATAAGTTATCCCGATACTAATTTTAATTTCGAGATAACTTATACTAGGTTTGCTAACCAAACAAAGTATTAAGGTGATATTAAATTTTTATACCAGCACTATATCTACTTATACGTCATATCAAACCACCCCTAAGAGATTATGATAAGCCCTTCTTTAAGCTATAGTTAGGAAATTATTTTATTGCAGTATTTCTGCCAGGGGAAACAGGGGATACAACAGTCACAAATCTACATTAAATAAACCTAGTAAGGAATAGGAATTAGGAAATAGATGAAGCTCTGGTCGCTATGTTCAACAGATGAACTGACACAACTTAGCTAATTGTCATAGTAATTCCCTACAAGAAATGTACTCCTAAGAACTAACATCGTACAAGGGATCAATTTTTACACATAAATGACTTATTTCAAGTTCTAATTAAAAACTAAAAAAATTATACTCCTTCCTAGAATATCTGATTATTTTCTAGCATTCCACTTTTAAATAAGAGACAGTTGCCTTCTTTGAAATTCAATAATCATAAGATTAAAGAATTTCATTTGGTACTTATGGATCGAATTATGCTTCCGCATTTAGTTTATTTTGATATATTTAGGTGACATTATATATCTTTTAGAAAGATGAAGGCTTTGATACTATGTTACCCCTCTGTCTCCAAAAGATTGACACTGTTTTCTTATTAGTGTATTTCAAAAAGATTGACATCTTTCAATACTTCCTTAATAGGAATCATATATAGCCACACAAATGCTATGCCATGTTTCAGATCACAAGTTTCAAAAGTTTTATAGTCACACAAATGTTATGGCTTATTTAAGACCACATACCTCAAATATGTTACTCTCTCCGTTCCAATTTATGTGAACCTGTTTGACTGGGCACGTAGTTTAAGAAAAAAATAAAGACTTTTGGAATTTGTGGTCCTAAACAAGTCAAAAAGAGGCACAGAGTATTTGTGTGATTATAAAAGCTTCTCATTAAAGGTAGAATTGTAAGTTTAAGCTAAATTGTTACCAAATTTAGAAATGGGTCATTCTTTTTGGAACGAACCAAAAAGGAAATAGATTCACATAACATGAAACTGAGGAAGTACTTTGTTTTATAAAGTTTGTGCCAAATCAAACTAAAACAATACTCCCTCCGGTCCAAAATAAGTGATTTTTTAGCTGTTTTCACACAGATTAAGAAATTCACCTTTTAGCATTAATTAACAATGAAATTGACCATATTAACCTTTGCTATCTCTTCACATAAATACTCCTAACACATACTCCAACACTATTTACTCCAAGGGCAATGTAGGAAAAAAATAATTAATATATTCTTGAAATCTGAAAAAATCACTTATTTTGAACCACAAAAAAAAGGCCAAAAAATCACTTATTTTGGACCGGAGGGAGTATTTTTAAGACGGAGGGAGCACGCTTACCACCAATACCCCATGCTGCAATAAAACTGGCTGTCTGTTCTGCCCACCACCACCTACGCGCCCTTCCGGAATTCTATGCACGCTTAGTATGTAACCATCATCAGTAGTTACCTGAAAATCCCAAATTGAAGAAACACATTTAAAGTCCATTGTTTAATCTGGTGGACAATGCCATTCTAATGTGTACTCTGAGGCCAAAAACAGAGTGGATCAGAGACTGATATCAATTGGCAATTAATTTACCTCATATTCCTGGCATTTATAACCATGAATAGTCACAAAAGTGGCGCACATACCACTTGGTACTGCAGCATTCACGCCATTATCATCAGTAACAAAGCCAAAAGGACCTCTAATACTAGACCCAAATGTTCGATGAGACTCAAACACTGATATTATCAATGTCACAAAACCTAAAACACCTAAGTTCCACAATCTACGGAGCGCCATTTTACTATAAGTGTGTGAAATTGGGATGCTTTGAAAGTAAGAAGAATAATTTATAGACGGAAAGAAACAGAGGAATTAGCAATGCGCCAAAAACTGGGAATTGGTAAATAGAGAAGGTACGTGGGAAAAGGATTGCTTCTTTGTGCTCTCAATTTGTCAACTGAATAACTGGACAATCTTGTTTCTGATTTCTTGATTTTCGAAAAGGTGTGGAGAATTTGTCACTTTGCTTCTCTCCCGCTACTTCTTTTAACAGTTTCTAGTGGGAACTGAGAATTTGGAGGGAATGGGTGTTGGAGCCCACCAAATTTTGGATGTTTTATGGGTTGCTTATCTCCTTTTTTGATCAACGTAACTGATCAGTATTAAGATGCAGGAAGTAATGTAGAACGTCAGTAAGGAATGGGGTGCTTTCATGATGTTGAAACTCAACGAATTACTGTTAACAATTTTGAATCGAACTAAATTCACTAGTGTAATTTACTCAACTTATGTAGAGAATAACTGGGTTTACAGTTGGCAGAATTTGAATATGGGGCCTGTGTTATTACACATGTTAGTTTTCCACTTGGTTCCTTGTATAACGCCATATATATAGGACTACACAATGGGCAGATTATATATTTGCTTATCTTTAGATATGTGCGCAAATCCAGCTAAATCTCAAGACTGGTATAATTATTGCAACTTTTAAGGTTTTCCACTTGTTTAGAAGATGCGCTTGGGTTGGGTGCACGAATAAAGTCCCACATTGATAGCTGAAAAAATTGGGAGAGATATCTCTTAATGGTGTGAGCCTTTTAGGGAAAACCGTACGGACTTGGCCCCAAGCGAACAATATTACACCATGTTAAGAGTATTTTTGGCTAGTTTAGCCCAACAGCCGGTATCAGAGCCCCCGTTCAACCGGATGAGTATGGAGATGTCAGAGTGATAGGGTGGGGCGACAAGCACACAACAAGACGCTAGTTGCGGGCTTCGGTTGTCATAATTGGGAGTTTACATATAAGGTGTAGGGATCTCTTAATGATATGAGGCGTTTTGGGGAAAACCGTGCGGGCTTTGACCAAGGCGGACAATATCACACCATGTTAAGAGTGTAATTGGGCTAGTATAGCCCAACAACTGGTATCAAAGTCCAGATTCAGCGGGACGAGTATGTATATATCATCTCATCTTGTAATAACCGTTTAACGTGATTCTGTAATCTTACAGCTTTGACTAGTTCTACGTAGTTAGTCCTTGAACTGATCCATCTTTTATCTATACTGTAAGTTAGATTAAATATCTTCTAATTCTTCTCGCTAACTACATATAAATATCAGGCATGTCATTTTCTATCGGTTAACATTCTCCTCCAATCATCTAAGTTCATCAACTAATTAGGCATTTTTTCAGTTGAAATTGGATTATGCTAGCCAAACACCTCGCACGCGTTTCTGTAAATTACTAGAAAAGAGCAGTCCGGTGCACTAAGCTCCCACTATGTACGGGGTCCGGGAAAGGGGCGGATCACAAGGGTCTATTGTACGTAGCTGATGATAGGCTATAATTGCGTATTTTAGTCGTTTATTACACTCTAATTTACTGCGCTTTAATTGAGTTTGAGCTTTAACCGCTAATGTTTTGCACTAACTGTGTGTTTTATGCCTTGTAGGAGTGATTCCGAGCTATATAGATGTTATGGAATGAATTCAAGTGATTTTGAGCTTTGAAGTCTGAGTAAAAGTCCAAGGAATTAAGCCGGGATCGTGTCAGGGGTCAACTTTGATAGTTAAGATCAAACGAAGACTCGAGTAGGCATATTGCGCACTGTCTAGGAAAATAGACATAACTCTTTTCGCAGAACTCCATTTGGGCTCTACAACATATGGTTGGAAAGCTAACTCAAAGGGCTACAACTTTCATGTTTTACAGTTTTTCAAATTCCAAACGGAACAGGGCGAAAAATGCGGTCGAAACCGCGATCGCGGACTGAGGCAGTGCACTTGTTAATATACACGGCCACTAGCGTGGTCACGAGCGCGGCCGCGCTAGTCAAATCCGGGAAAAGTATTTTTTTGGCTAAGAGAAGGTATAATTGTTTGGGCCCGACCCTACTTGGTATATTTTTCCTTCCTCTTCCTATTATTCATTGTTGGTTATGACTTTTAGTATTGTAGTTTTACTAACTATTATGAATAGCTAATTTGTTATCTAGGGTTTTGATGGAACCTTTTGTAGGATAAATTCGTGTTATGTTTATATATAATTGAGCCGTAGTATTTTCTCTATTTGTTCAACTATATTATTCTTGTGGTTGATTGAAGGGCCCCCCAATTAGCTGCGCCTATTTAGTATGTATTACTCGGGCGAGAGTGCATATTTAGGTAGTTGTTGAACAACATCACTCCCGACGTATGTGAGGAATCAATAACCAAGGGTTTAAAGGTGGGATTAGGGATAATGAAACCTTGGGTGCGATCTAAGTGAGCTGTAACTAAAGCCAGCTAGCGTAACTCGGGAGAGTATGTCTAGTAAATTGTCGTAATTACTCGGGAGAGAATTACAACACGCAGAGCGCTCATGATCGGTAGAGAATACTTAGGCGAAATTATAGAAGACATAGCGGGAAGGATTCCGACAATTGGGAAAATCATAACTCTAGACCTCCTTAATCTTTTCTCCAACCTGTATTATATTTAGTGCTAATTTATTATTTTAATTTGTTAGTTAGTCAGTTAAACACAAGAATCTTAATATCTATAAGTTAGGAATTGTTCAAGTTTGTATTCTTGGTGATAGTGAACAACTGTAGCTAAGCCTTAGTTCTCTGTGCGATTTGACTCCGGACTTTTAGACCGGATTATATTTGCAGTGACCGCTTATCCTTTTTAGGACTAGAGTTGGGCGTGATCAGTTGCCTTACACTATATTTCTGTAAATTACTAGAAGACTAACAAAAAATGCTTTAAGACGGCCATTTTTGTTATGTTATCTGCATGACTTCTTTTTTTTTCCTTTTTTCAGTTGGACCTGTAACACCCCGTAAATTTGAATCAGTCGTGGATACATTAAATGAGTATTAATGTGATGGTTATCGATTGGTTATGATAATAAGTGTACGAGACATATCATAAGTGATTTGGAGTCCAAGGAGAGACCTAAGTCTAAGCCAAGTTGGAAAATTACATGATAGACTAAAATTCCAAATGAGTACGCACAAGACCACACTTTGGACGAGCATACCTACAGATGTATTATGTGATGCACAACCTATAAAATGAAAGATCTTTGAGTCTAGTTTTTAACGCTTCAAACCGTTCGTCATTTGGACATTCCTACAAGAAGTTATGACCTAATTACCAAAGGCTGGCGGAGGAGTGTGCGGATGCGAAGCATCCGAGGCCGCATCCGAAAAGAGGGGCTGGTAGTGAAGTGCTGCCATAGCATCCAGGTCAGCATCCGAGCTGCTGAGAGGAGTGAAGTGGGGATGCGAAGCATTCGAGGCCGCATCCGAAATCTGGGCTTATAAACACAATTTCGGGGTCCATCTTCCCCCATTTCTTTTGGACGACTTTTAGGGTTTTCCTCCACTCTCTCAAGACCTCCAACCCCTCCTATATACAAGGAAAGCAATCCCTATTATCTTGGTGTGAATTTTATCATTTCTACACTAGTATTGATGAAATCTATACATAAAATACTTAGATCTTCAAGAGATTTCTTCATGAACTCAAAGGAGGGTTTTGCAAGATTTCTTCCAAAAAGGTAATCCTACGCCCTTAGACTTACATGTATGAAGTTATTAAGGGAATATGAGTATGAATAAGTATTGGAACTCTTGATATGGTGATTGGAAGCCATAAGTTCCCAATTTAATTACATAAATATTGTAGAGATTGAAAGATGATTATTTAATGGAACTTTGTTGGTTGGGTGTGGATGGATGGCCATATATGTGATGTTGGAAGTTATAAATTGGTTAATCATGGCGGTGGGATAAACTGTTGATGAATGGTGGTAGTTGGATGAACTAATTATACGGTGATGAGATGTAAAGATTTATGCCTACAAGGTGTTTGATAATATGCCTAAATGGCTTAAGTTATGGAATTTGTTACTAATATTGGTTCCATTGGATGTTGTTATTGTAGATTGAAGGTTCTTAGTATTGGGGATCATTGTAGTAGCACTAAGGAGCGAAATTGAGGTATGTGAGGCTAACTCTCTATGTTTGGGAATGTTAATGATTCTCCCTACACTATGTATCTTTTATCACGTTAATTGCCTCATAAATATAGTTAAGCCTAGTTCCTTGAATAGTTGCAGAACTTCTATTCTCTAGCTTCGTAACTCGTTCATGACTTTCATTCTAAACGTTGTGAAATCAGTGCGTAACCAATATAGACTTGGGTTTGATGCCCACGGGTCTCAGTCTAGATTACTCAACATGTCATAAACAGTTGAAGTTTCAATTTTCATAATCAGTTCATGAATACATGTCTCAATCTAGCTCTATTCAGCATTCATGTATCATGTAATTCAGTATGGTTTTATATTTCAGCATCATGTATTTCGGTATGATTCTCAATTCCTGAATGTTGAACACCTGTATTTGGGCATGAGGTCGTAGATTATATGCTTTATGCATACTTGGGCCTGAGGCCGTAGTTTATGCTTTATGCATGTTTGGGCATGACGCCGTAGTTTATGCTTTATGAATTTTTGGGCCTGAGGTCGTAATTATGTATACGTATAATTGGGCCTGATGCCGTAGCTTGTGCACATATATATTGGGCCCGAGGTCGTAGCTTATACAGATAAACAGGTTGTTCATCATTCAGAAGAGGGAGTATTCATATCCTTACTTCCTTTGTTTAGTTCAATTATTAGTTATCAGTTATCAGTTATCATTTCAGTTACCAGTTATCATTTCAGTTATCAGTTACCATTTCAGTTTCAGTTTCAATAGTTATCATTCAGTTATCAATTCTCAATTCTCAATTATCAGCTTAGTTTCAGCTTCAACATTTATAATTCTTTCTTTCAATTGCTTTACATACAAGTGCAATTCAAATGTACTGACGTCCCTTTTGCCCGGGGCCTGCATCTCACGATGCAGGTAATGATTCACAGGTTGACGATTCAGAGCGCTAGGATTCTCGTACCAGCTATTTGCTGATCCCCAGTTCTTTCGGGGCATTATCATTACCTTACAGTCTTTAGTATCTGCAGACAGCCGGTGTTTTCAGTACTTCATTAGAGGCTTCATAGACTAGAGTAACAGCTAGATAGAGTCGCAAGCTTTTCATATTAAGCTATGTTGGCTACAAATATATTTCAGAATCGTATTAGCATTTTCGCACTTTGATTTATATCATCCAGACTTTCAGTATATCAACATGTGTTAGTTTATCTTCCGCATTCAGTATGTTATGATATCACATGTTGATTCTGCCAGCCAGTTGGTTCGCTCGGCTGCATGTAGTCAGGCACCGGGTGCCGTATTACGTCCAGGCCCAGGTTCGGGGCGTGACAAGA